GACGTATTTCACGTGTCTCAGCTTCGGAAGTACGTAGCAGATCCTTCGCACGTGGTGCAACCGGATGATGTAGAAGTTCGGGAGAACTTGAAAACTCCCGTCGGACCACTTAAGATTCTCGATCGTGGCGAGAAGTAGCTGAGGAGCAAGATCATTCCGATGGTCAAAGTGCAGTGGACAGGGAGAACTTTTGAGGAGTGTACTTGGGAGCGAGAGGACGAGCTTCTCCGGCTATATCCCGACTTCCGAGACAGGTATATTTTGATTTTGAGGACAAAATCCTAAAAAGATGGGGTGAATGTAAGAACCCGCACCGTTAATTAAGGAAGTTAATTAATTAATTATGAGAAATTAGGAAATAATTCCATAATTGACCATAATAATAATTATAAGGCTTTAATAATTATGGTAAGTAATTAATAATGCTGAAAGTCGCTTTTCTGACGAAAAGCGCAAATACCGATTCTGCTACTCGGTATAAATTCGTACCGGTAAAGTATACCAGAAAATTACAAAAAGTGTGTATATGTCACTAGAATAATATATAGGACTTGTAAAACAAGTTTCAAGTTAAAATAATGAGAACTGGTGCCAGAAATGATATTGGCTATGGAAAAGCGCGTACCGGAAAGGTGCTGCGAAAAATAAAATAAAAATATGATAAATCTTATAAAAATGAGTAGGTTTTGATTCCAAAGTTTGGGATTAATTGGCTAAGCGTAGCTATTAGTGCTAATACTGTGTGTTTAATTCTTAAAACACTATATATAGCTAATGGCACGTGATCCTAGGGTATATTCCCTTTGTTTCTACGTGGGTTTGAGCTGCTGATCAGCCTCTTCCTCTTCCTTGCCTTCTTTCCTTTGAGAAAAGCCACCAAGTTGCCACCTTTCCTTGATTTTCTCTAGCTAATCCTTGGAAACACTTAGTGGAGTGTGTGGTGAGTGGAAGTCAGCTTTCTGGGTTGTTTCATCTCTGTTTTGTTGAGTTGTGGGGCTGAGTTCATAAGCTTTGTTGAGGGAGCCTTGTCATGACTTGGTGATTCTCCTAGAAGCCTTGTTGGTGTGAAAGAACCAAGCTTTATTGGTCCATTTTCGTTCAGCTTGAAGTCAGTATCCTAGGAGCTGAAGTGTGAGCTCCAAGAGCATTCTTTCATCTGTTTTGAGTTGTTGGTAAGCTTCATCTACCTTGACCATGTGTTTCCTTGGTTAAAAATGGAACCTTGATGCATGTAACAAGCTAAAGATCATAACTTAAGGTTGGGTAAGGTTAAACACAACTAAAAATGCATGCTTTAACGTTGGAAGGGGTTAAAAACCCAACCTTTGGAGTGATATCTCGCGAAATGCAGAAACTGCACTCTGTCGCGAAATATCCGGATATGATATCCGGATATTGATATCCGAATATGGTCTTTGAGATATCCGAATATGGATATCCGGATATGTCCCCGACATATATCCTGATATTCTGGGTTTTCGAAGAACAGTAGCTGCATTGTTCATACAAAATGATATTATGGGTTTGTGGACCCTAGTTTGATGAAGTGAGATTTCTGTAATAATTGAACTAAGTCAAAATCAAGTGATTAAGGGCTTGTGGCTTTGTGAGAATCCTTAAGACATGAAATGTAAAGGAAAGATGTTGTCCTTGTGTCTTATACTTGTTAAGTATGTTTTGATATGATTGTTGGTCCAAAACAGATCATGATTCTGCTGTGTTTGGGCTTTGAGATTGGTTGGACTCTTGGCTTGGATTATTAGCTTGCAAGGTAAGCTTTCGTGTCCTCGGTTTAGCCATTGTGTGGTTCCACCATACCCCATGGGGGAATGGTTTATATGCATGATGTGTTTACATGCTTTGATAATTGAAAGTGCTGTTGAGCTTTATGTGCAATTGCTTATAATATGTATGTGTTGTTCCACTTAGACGGTAAGCCAGAGTATGTGGCGTCATATAAGACGGTGACACTGTGGGTGGGTGCAAGTGGTGTCTTGCACTAGTGTGGGTAATAGACGTATTCCTGCATTTCTCTGGCCAGTAGATTAGTTATAACACATATGACATGATTATCTGCTGCATTGCACTATTTTGGAACTTATACTGTTGAACTGTTTTAGAACTTATATTGCACATGTAAGTGGACTTGGGGGTGGAAGATCCTTGAGGACCCATTGTCTTACTGAGATTTCTGTTCAGAGATCTCACCCCACGTTTGGGGTGCTTATTTCAGGTTCAGGTAACCCAGGGGTTGAGACATCTAGCGGCAGGAGGCCGGAGCTTAGTAGATTGATGTTTATTTGCTTATGCTGACTATGCTTGGATGCTGGTTTATACTTGTTGATATCATGCTTATAGCCTCATTTAATGTTTTGTCGAGACTCTGTTGTTATGTCGTCTATTTGGTGAGCATGGGGTTTGTCTATGCCACATTGACTTGACCTTATGTTTTTAGTTGTGAGTTGTAATAATGTATCAGGATATTGTCCGGACTACGTGTTGTAGATCCGTGACTTAGATACTCACTTATTTATCTAGTGAGGTATTTCAATTAGCTATCTTTTGCAATTTACATACATGCGATGTTTTTATGAAAATTATTAAGTAATCAACTTGGCTAAGTATAATGACGTCATAATTGAAAAGAAAAAGAATATTCCCCATTTTTATTAAGCGTGGCTTAATACGATGACATGTTAACAAACCGGGTATACACGGGGTGTTACAGGAATCATAGGGCCCAAAGCCCTTTCCGGCAAAAGATTCTGAATCTCCTCCGCAGTAAAACCCAGAAGTTCAAGAACCTTACTATGAGGCAGAGACTCAACCTCAAGGGCCAGGGAACGACTATGACTAGCATCCTTGCTACCACTACCACGGCTAGTAAGAAAAGCTCTCATCGCCTCCCTTACACCACGACCATCGAACATGTCAAAAGCTTCGTCAAACTCCTCCTCTTTGACAGTCACTCCAGCTCACACAAATCTCCCCCCATCACCTCACCCAGTTCAACCATCCCAAAACAAAATAAAACTCAGAAACAAAGGAAATGCAAAGCAAATGGAGAGGTTGCACAGTATACCTAAACGAGGACGTAGCTGAAGCAAAGGTAACAAGAGCTAAGAAGAAGAAGATTGAGGCAACACTTGTGCAAAGGAGAAAGAATCCAGACCAAGATGAAGAAAATGAAAAAGAAGATCAAAGAGTGTAGAAGAAGATTAACAAAGTAAAGCCCCCTTTAAATAGGGTTCCCAGCGTAACGCCCAAAACCTGTCGACCATCTGATCGTCTTAATCGTTCAAGAAGCAACAAACTAGATGAAGGGTTCTTTGGTAATTCCACCGTGATGAGACACCCCTCACCTCGCGTTAAATGCGGCACGTCCCACGATGCAGAAACATCTGCACATAAATAGCAACAATGAGAGTTGCCATCATTGCAGATTCTTGAGGACCGAAGAGTCATCTTATTCTATGAACAACACGTGTTCCTCTCTTACTGCCAAGCCGCCAAGCATTTCGTCAGCCCGCCAAGATGCCAAGCATCCCATCAGCTCGCTAAGGCACGAAGCACTCTATCAACCCGCCAAGAACATTCATCTTGACACCAAGCTTCGCTTGCTACCAAGTTGGGGGGCTCTTGTTTTGGAAGGCCCATGTCGTTGAGGCCTAATGACATATGCCCAAAGCCTCTCCTGGCGTCCACGTCAGCCCTGCTGACCGAAGACCACCAACCCTCCTTCCCTTCTATCCCCCTGATGACAGAATCCCCAAGGTAAGACACCAAAATGCCTTACCTGGTATTAGAACTCTACAAGAGGGTCTCCTCATACCCCTAAATGGAAGCTTCCCTTCTACAAAGGTAGCAACAGTGACTGCCACCATCCAGGCAGAAGCAGCATCGCTGCAAAACACCACAGTATCAGCCACCCTCAACGTCCTCTAAGAAGAGTTGACCCAGCTCACCTACCCAGGTAAGGTGAGCATCTCCTCCTCCTATAAATACTCCTCCATCACCAGGCAAGCAAGTATCTTATGTATCGTTACTATGTTCATATGTATAAGCCCCAACAAACATACATACACAGATCCCTTCCCCCAAACTTGTCTAACTCGTACTTAGGACATTGTTGCCTAATCTGGTCTCTACCTATTCACCATATAGTGACACTATTCCCTCAAAGGGAACATATTGAACTTGTAAATCCCAACAGTACATATGTAATTTATCCAAAATATAAAAGTGTGTAAGGCCTATTTTTTTTTCTTCTTTTTACATGACCTCATAAAAATCCCCTATACTTATATTTTTATATATATATATATTAAAAATAAGATTTAATAAGATTATCTCAGCACCACTAGGGTTAGCCTAGTGGTGTGGGGTGTGTGTGTTAAGAGTGTGTGTAGTGTAGAATGTTGTGTTCAATTTCTTGTAACCTCCAAAAAAAAATTATCTCCTGTAACAAACATTAATCACATCTTTTCAAGCCCCGTAGACTTAGTACAAGAAATGTTGCACATCATATATACAAATATCACGCTCAAATGAATCACGTTTCAAGTACGGAAATTTATTGAACAAGTCTATCTAAAAGGACTCTGCATCTGTACGTAGCATTCCTAATAATGCTTTGACATGTGTTGTTGCCGCAGTAGCTATAATTCAGCAACGCAAAGTTCTTTATAATAATATTAAACTCTTATTATTATTTAATTTAAACTTAATTATTTTTTATTTTAGAAATATATAGTTGTCGGCAGCAGCAAATTAACACAACACAGTGGTATCCATAACAGCATATTTACATGTTGACAGGCTATAACAAACCACTTGTTAAATTTATAAGAAAATAAATTCCGAAATGTTTCACTAAACATGAGAGAGTACATGAAATATTAATTATTATAGATACTCTCAAGTCTCAACTTAATAAAGTAAATATTAGACAGAAATATACGTGTCTGAAAAGATAAGAATGTTTTTTAAATGTTAGCTTAAGGTGAGAAATGAAAAGGGGAGATTGAGGGAAGAGAGCGAGAGAGAAGAGAGAGAAGAAGGATTTAGTGGTTCCCCGCTTGTTTCTCGGTGTGTGTCTGAATTGCAATTGGAAAATCGCAACGATGTTTGTGTTTGGTCCGAACACACGACAAAGTTAGTTAGTTACTTTGGTTATTATTATTATTTTTATTATAATTATTGAATCTCTCTTTTCCTTCTCTTTTCTATCGGTTTTGCCATTGCAAGGCAGATCCGATCCCATTCTCTCTTCATTCAATTCAATTCAATTCAATTCATTTTCTCCTGAATTCCTTTCCCTCACATCAGGTTAGGGTTTTCTCTTTCCTTCCACCTTTTTTTATTTTATTTTTTTAAATTTATTTATTTACTAATCTTCATCATTGCAATTTGATTGAATGTTTAGGAACAGGGCCTGACATCACAATCGTGAACGCAATGCAATGACTTTGACTGCAATGTGGGCTTGAAGGCCCATTCGGTTCCGCCTCTGTTGTGTTTTCTAATTATTATCATTGCAATGATATGATATTGATGATTGTTTATATGTGTGAGTGAATGCAATTGCGTTGTAATGATATATGTGATTGTTCACTGATCGGTGTCAATGTACTGAACACGTTTTCTGGTTTTGAATGCCCCACGCTGGGGGTCGTGGAGTGCAATGGAATCTAATACCCCTACAAACACTGTCCCCTTTGAAATATCATCTTCATCTGCATCTGCATCTGCATCTGCATCCCGAGTGCAGAGGATCCGTCACAAAAGTGTTCAATTTGATGATAATATACTCTTACATGATGATAATGCCAGGCAAATCTACATCAATGATCCCATCAAGACTAATCATAAGTATGAGTTCACGGGGAATGAGATTCGAACCAGCAAATATACTATATTCACATTCTTGCCCAAGAATCTCTTCATTCAGTTTCACCGCCTTGCTTATCTCTATTTCCTTGCCATTGCCGCCCTCAACCAGCTTCCTCCCTTGGCTGTCTTTGGCAGAACCGTTTCCCTTTTCCCCCTCTTGTTCGTTCTCTGTGTCACCGCCATTAAGGATGCCTATGAGGATTGGCGCAGACACAGGTCCGATCGCAACGAGAACAATCGCGAGTCTCTCGTGCTTCAATCTGGTCAGTTCCAGCCCAAGAGGTGGATGAAATTACAAGCTGGTGATGTTGTTAAAATCTTTGCTGATGAGATGATTCCTGCTGACATGGTTTTGTTGGGGACGAGTGATCCGAGCGGCCTTGCCTATATTCAGACAATGAATTTGGATGGAGAATCGAATTTGAAGACAAGGTATGCCAAGCAGGAAACAGCTTCATCAGTGTCGTCGGAAGCTTGTGATGTCTCTGGAGTTATTAGATGTGAGCAACCTAACCGGAATGTTTATGAGTTCACAGCCAATGTGGAGTTCAATGGGTATAAGTTTCCCCTTAACCAGTCAAACATTGTGCTTCGTGGTTGCGTGCTGAAGAACACCGAGTGGATAATCGGTGTTGTGGTTTATGCAGGACAGGAAACAAAGGCAATGTTGAACAGTGCAGCTTCCCCTTCCAAGAGAAGCAAACTGGAAAGTTACATGAATAGAGAAACCTTATGGTTGTCCGTTTTTCTTTTTATCATGTGTTCGGTTGTGGCCCTTGGGATGGGTCTCTGGCTGGTACGCCACAAGAATCAGCTTGATACCTTACCTTATTACAGAAAAACGTACTTCAATGGCCCAGATAATGGAAAGAAATATAAATATTATGGGATACCAATGGAAACGTTCTTCTCCTTTTTGAGTTCTATTATAGTTTTTCAGATAATGATACCAATTTCTCTTTACATCACGATGGAGTTGGTTCGTTTGGGTCAGTCATACTTCATGATTGAAGATGGGGATATGTATTGTGCCAACTCTGGATCAAGGTTCCAGTGTAGATCATTAAATATAAATGAAGATTTGGGTCAAATACGCTATGTGTTTTCGGACAAGACAGGAACACTAACAGAAAACAAAATGGAATTCCGGAGAGCCAGTGTACATGGAAAGAATTATGGGAGCTCCTTGCTTATGGCTAATGATAGTACAGGTATTTGGTCTCCTCTTCAGATCATTATGTAATTGCAGACCACTTAAAGGTGTTGTACGGTTCCATTATCTCTATCATGCTATTATAGTTTGAAATCCTCTGAAAGGCTAACATATGTCTATGGCACAGAGATAATGAGAAACTCTTTGGTTTCTCTATGTAAGTTTGAGAAATGAATTAGTTTTGATCTCTTTGGTTTATGTTAATGAGTGTTTAACAGGTGAGTTTGAAGAGAAGTGGTGCCCATGTAATACACCATCACATCCCAGTAGCACAGTAGCATAATGTTCTCTTAGATTGTCATTTTCTATTCAATTACTCAAATCAATCTTGGAACTGACCTATCATGTTTTGTTCATACGTAAAGCTCGGTTGTTATTGTACGTTGGAAGAGCTTCCTTTTAGACTCGAAAATTCTAACTTCTCTTAGATTTATCTGATGAAATCTCCATGATCTTCAATTATTTTTCTATTATGAACTTTATGAATCGGTTATATGTCTTGATCCAAGTTGTTGGCTACATAAGTTCTCATCAGTTGACAAATTTGCTGTTGCATATGTATCACAAGACAATTTTTGTGATGATTTGCAGCAGGGGCAGCTGTTAATTGTAATCGAAGATGGAAGCTCAAATCTGAAATTGCTGTTGATTCTGAATTAATGGCATTGTTGCAGAAAGGCTCAAATGGAGACGAAAGAATTGCTGCTCATGAGTTTTTCCTTACACTGGCTGCTTGTAATACTGTGATCCCTATTCTTAGTGGCAGTTGTGGAGCAAGTGAATCAAATGAAGATGTAGATTGTATTGATTACCAGGGAGAATCTCCTGATGAAATAGCTCTAGTTTCTGCAGCCTCTGCATATGGGTATACTCTTTTCGAGCGAACATCTGGACATATTGTTATTGACATCCATGGCGAGAAACTTAGGTAAATAGTGACTTCCTTTTGGTGGGAGATTTCATGTTTTGATTTTTTCTTAAAGAATTTTGGGCTTTTATATTTAATGGAATTGAATTATATATACATTGCATGGTCTAGTTCAGTCTTTTACTTTGTCTTTGGTTTATATATATCTAGACTATTCAGTAGCTTCATTATTTCTGTGTGCATTATAGGTTGGATGTATTGGGCCTGCATGAGTTTGATAGTGTGCGAAAGAGGATGTCTGTTGTTATTCGGTTTCCTGACAATTTTGTAAAGGTGTTAGTAAAAGGCGCCGATTCTTCAATGTTTAGCATTTTAGCAAATGACAGTGCAAGCAATGATAGCGTACGGCATGAAACTCACAGTCATTTGAGTGAATATTCTTTGCAAGGTTTACGAACTCTTGTACTTGCCTCTAGGGATCTTTCAGATGCAGAACTTGAGGATTGGCAAAGCATGTATGAACATGCGAGCACTTCATTGACTGACCGAGCTTCAAAATTACGTCAAACAGCAGCTCTTTTAGAATGCAACCTAAAGTTACTGGGAGCAACTGGAATTGAGGACAAGCTTCAAGAGGGTGTACCGGAAACAATTGAGTCCCTTCGGCAAGCTGGAATCAAGGTCTGGGTTCTTACTGGTGATAAGCAAGAGACTGCAATTTCAATTGGCCTTTCCTGCAAACTTCTGAGTGCAGATATGCAGCTGATAATTATAAATGGCACTTCAGAGGTTGAATGCAGAAATCTCTTGGCTGAAGCTAAAGCTAAAGCCAAATATGGTGTGAGATCTTCAAGTAGAGGACATCAGAATCCAGGTGATCCTGATATTCCCTATGATACGAAATCATTGAGCATGCCCAAGTGGAATCCAGGAAAGGAAGAAGGGACTACTGCTCCCTTGGCACTCATAATTGATGGAACTAGTTTGGTTTATATTTTGGAGAAGGAACTGGAGTCAGAGGCAAGATTATCCTTCCTCGTTTGATTTCTTTTGTTTGGAATGTTTATGTGCATTGGATCACTAAAGCTGGAATTATTCTAGGCTAACTGATTTACATTAGAGCTTATAAATTCAACTTAATGGTAAATATTTACTGTTTTCCTTTACCTTTCAACAGCTTTTCGACCTTGCAATTTCCTGTACGGTTGTGCTATGCTGTCGTGTTGCACCCCTGCAGAAAGCAGGAATTGTTGATCTGATAAAGAGCCGCACAGATGATATGACATTGGCTATAGGTGATGGTGAGTTATAATGATATGAAATGACCCATAATTTACATTTGCACTTTGTTGGAGGGGTTGAGTGGTGCTTGATAATGGATTTGTAAATAAGTTGAGGTCGTCAATCTTCTTTTGTACTTACTTAGTATAATCGGATGCGCTTTTAAACTTACAAGATTTGGTTCAGTATCAACTTATGATCTCTCCTGTTTATTTAAACTATTTTGGACAGGGGCCAACGATGTTTCAATGATCCAAATGGCAGATGTTGGTGTTGGAATATGTGGGCAGGAAGGACGCCAAGCAGTGATGGCATCAGATTTTGCAATGGGACAATTTCAGTTCTTGAAAAAATTACTTCTGGTTCATGGACACTGGAATTATCAGCGTGTTGGTTATTTAGTTCTGTACAACTTCTACCGCAACGCTGTCTTTGTGTTGATGCTATTCTGGTGTGTGTAGTTTTCTTTGGATACTACTGGCTGACTTCCACTTTTTTCTTTGATAATAATTGGTTTTTCTTTCTTTTTAACTTTTTAATTTGGTGCAATCCAGTACTGTGCATATGTTTTAGTTTTGGTGTCTGATCTTTCATACTTTTCGGCAGAAACTTGAACTAGGAAACTGTAATGTTCATTATTTTTGCCTATGCATAGGCATTGGACTGAGATAATTGAGAAAAGGATTTTATCCATATTTGATGTTAACTTTTGCCTATGAAATTGTCCTTTTAGAATATTCTGATCTTCGTGCTGTATGCTATCCTTGTTTAAACTTGCAATTTGTTGTAGGGTGTATCACCAATTTTTGGGCTCAATGATAGAAGTTATTTGATTTTTATGATAAATGCAGGTCATATAAATTTTTTATTGAGTCTAATGCAGTGTCTTCCTTGTCTGTAGGTATATATTATGCACTGCTTTTTCTACAACTTCAGCATTGACAGATTGGAGTAGTGTATTCTATTCGGTGATATACACATCTATCCCCACTATCATTGTTGGTATTCTGGACAAAGACTTGAGTCGTAGGACACTGTTGCAGTATCCAAAACTCTATTGTGCGGGTCACCGGCAAGAGGCTTACAATATGCAATTATTTTGGATCACAATGATTGACACGCTATGGCAGAGCCTTGTGCTCTTCTACATTCCCCTATTCACCTACAAGGACAGCTCAATTGATATATGGAGCATGGGCAGTTTGTGGACAATTTCAGTTGTTATCCTCGTAAATATACACCTGGCTATGGACATTAACAATGGGATATTAATCATTCATGTTGCTGTGTGGGGATCAATAATCATTACATATGGTTGCATGGTGGTATTGGATTCTATACCTGTCTTTCCCAACTACTGGTTAGTCATATTTGTGTCTTCCTATAAGTAAATTGTATTATAGATGATGTAGTACTGCAGGACATATAGCTAATGTGCCTCCAATCATTTCAGGACTATTTATCATTTGGCAAGGTCCCCTACATATTGGATAACAATTTTGCTTATAACAATTGTGGCATTGCTCCCTCGCTTTACTTGCAAAGTTGTTTATCAAATTTTTTGGCCTTCGGATATCCAGATAGCTAGAGAAGCTGAGGCAATGAGAAAACAACATGATAATTTGCAGTCAAGGCAACAAGTTTCCAGTTAACTTGTGTTATTGTCTTCTAGAAACTAGAGATCTCATTTGGAATGGCTTCTGTTGTATTTGTCCATTGCATTGCATTCTTGGGGCAGTTGGTTGTATAAGTGGCCAGGTAAGGGTATGCTTTCTGTCTGTTTTATTATTAGCATTTTTTGAATTTTTTTAATAGCTGTCACTCTTGATATTTTATGTGAACTAATTTCCTGGAACTTAGTGGTTGTCTAATGCGGAGAGTAACTTACAATAATTTTAGATTTGTATTACTAATAGTCTAAAAGCTATAATGAATGTGGTTAGGGATCTTCCAATAGTTTAACACCCCCCTTCTTCATAAAATGGTAACTTTAATGCTGTTACTTACTAATATAGGTTTTATAGAATTTAGAGGTCCTATGGCCCTGTAATTCTACTAATGGAATGTCGGTCTCTATTTTCCATGCAGGATTGGTTTTATAGAACTTAGTGGTTGTCTAAGGCGGAGACTAACTTTAATAATTTTAGATTTGTATTACTAATAGTCTAAAAGGTATAATGAATGTGGTTAGGGATCTTCTAATAGTTTATGACACCCCCTTCTTTATAAAATGGTAAATTTAATGCTGTTACTTACTCATTTATGTTTTATAGAATTTAGAGTAGAGGTCCTGTGGCCCTGTAATTCTACTAATGGAGATGTCGGTCACTATTTTCCACGGAGGATTGGTTCTTATTGAATAGTCTCCAATTATGGTATTGGTCCCTGGAGGGACTAATGCTCAAATGAGTGAAGTACAGGGACCGATATCTAAAAAAAATCTACAGGGATCAAAACTGAAATATATGGAAATTATAGGGACCAAAATCTTGTTTAAATCTTAAATTTATAATTTCATGTGTTTTTGTCAAATTTTTGAAAAACATTCAAACTAGATAAGGGTGTCTTGCTGGAATTCTTGGAAAAAAAAAAACAGATCCTAAACTGCCTGAGAGCTCTCTCTATTGATATTAGTAGTACATATTTCTTACATCTTATATAAGGGTTTAAACCCTCTGGTTATATGTTGCAACTCAACCTAACTTTGTCAACTGGTACAATGTGATCTTTGACTAATGGTGACAGCCAGATGAGTCATTTTTAATAATTTGCTAGGGCCCATAGTTTAGCATAGATAAATGGTGATAGTCTGGTTTCTTAATGCATCTTTGAATTTAAAGTTGTCTACTAACTAATTATTTCTGAACGGAGAATGAATGTCATCTGGTAGCTACAATCCAATGCTGTTAATGCAGCCTGGCTTGGGTTATGTTGGCCAGTTATCTATAGGAATCTGCCTGAGCTTGGAGTCCTCTCCTGATGCTGGAAAAGGCAAACTTGGCAAATTTAAACCATTTGACAACATAAGCCCTGAATTTGGGCTCTAAGTCACTTTTTGTATTATTTAATGGTAGAATATCTTGCAGCATTTAGTTTGGACAGTTATTGAAGCTATTTTGGTTTAGGATGGGTTATATAGGATGGATGCCATATATGAGTCTTTCTCGTTTCATTTGCCAACTCCTTAGATTGTTCTGGGTTTAGCAAAGTGTCAGGGAAACATGTATGTAGTTGATGTTTTGTAACTGGCAAAGGAGTTAACAGATCACCATTGTATGTCACGAATTGGTCTTTTCCACGCTTTCTTTTTTCATGTGGAGTGACTTTTATGGTTATTATACTAGAATATATGTATCACCATATGTATATATGTAACAGATCACTATACATATGGATTACAATAGAAAAATGTTGTGAACACACTTCTTTTACATGAGATGAGCTTTCTCTTTTCACATGTTAAACTCTGTTTGTGCATGGCCCTGATCTTTTGTGGTACCAATTCTTCAGATGAGTGGCAGAAGCAGATTGCACCGATGTGAAACAGATGCTTGTATCCTACATAGTAACCAAGTATGTCATGGGGAATCACATGTTTAAGTTATGAAGCCAAGCCTAGTAAATGCCTCGGGTAGTGAAGGTAAAAAGGAGGAGGTTGGAAGAGGCTTAGAGAGGAATCTCAGCAATTAGTTATGGACGAAATTTGACAAGTGGGGCATTGGCTACATGATTATGATCTAACTGGTCTTAAAGAGTTGCTTGTTTGAGAGAATGGTTACAGAGCAACCAAATGTACAATAGTTCTGTAAAAATCAGGCTTGTATTATCCCCTCTTTTTTCAAAAAGAAAAAGAAAAAGATAATTGTCTTAAGGAAGGATAAAATATAAGAGTGTAATTTCCACTATCCTTATAGTCAAACCAACAGCCAACCCTGCAAAAAGCAAGTTTCATCACCTTTGCTACAAAGAGCTCCAACTTAAAGATGCAATTTTAAATGCAAAGGCACTGTTGTAGAAGTGGACGTGATCTGTGGAAGTCTTGCTCCATGAAACAATTTTGAAGCTATACTTAAAACCCCAACCAAGCAAAGTTATTCCTTTTACATTCTGATGCAACGCTTTCTAACAAAGTTAACATAAACGCATTGCAGTGAAGGTTTATATGCAGATTTAGAAGCGACATGTGTACATATTGTTCCAAACGATGAGCACGTACCTTTCTAATCTTCTTAATTTCTTCAGTTCTTTTTATTGCTGAAGTAAATAACTAATGCTTTCTCAATTTTTGGTTGGTTGGTGGTTGTTTCTCTAAATACCAACAATTATGGAATTGCTTGTCTCGCAGTTTTGTTGTCCGTTGATTCTTTTTATATTCCCTTTCGACTTAATAAGTGACGAAAGCCAAATATGAACTCTGGTTAACCTAATAATGCGGAGAAGATACCATCTTATTCAATAATAAACTATTATTCTATTTATCCATTATTTTTTTCTCTCTTCGAACATAGTAGTTAATTGTGCCACGAGCCGCGCCGTATGGGCATTACAGTGCCTCGCCGCAAGAAACTGCGTCGCGCCGCATCAGAATGCAATAGCGCCCATTGTGATCACATTTGTGGCCAAATTTCGGCCATATTGCTATCATAAAACAAAATGTCAATTTTGTCATAAATTAAAATATGTAACAAAATTTTTTTAAAAGGGTTTTTAATCTATTTGCATCTCTACCTTTAAAAAAATGTTTCTTTTTGTTATTATTTCTTTCATATATCTATTTTGTTATTTTCGCAATCGCAACCCGCTATAATGCTACAACATTTTTCGGGGTTGGCCGCTACATGCCGCAATCCACAATTAATAACTGTCTTTGAATTAATAAATATCTTGATTTTTGCTCAAATATTTTTGCGATAAATATCCTGCTCCTTAATGATTTTCCATTAGGGAATACTTTTTTTTTTTTTGGTACAATAAAGGGGCAAAACCCCAAAGAAGACAAAAAATAAAAGACAAAATAGAACAGAAAAGACTAATCTGGGGCAGCAAGCCAGATCTGGCTGGAAGACCCTATAATATCGGAGGAGATCAACTTCTGAAGATCCTGGTCAGGAGAAGCTATAACTGATGTACCCAAGGAACAAGATAGAGCTCTCTTTGCAATCCAATCGGCACAGCTGTTACTGCTTCTCAAGACATGAGTAAATTTGACAGTCCAAGATCTATCAACAAGGGCTCGAATCCTAACCACTAAATGCAGTTCTCAAGCATCATTATCAATTAAGGTAAGCAATCTAATAGCTTGAGATGAGTCACTCTCAATTAATAACTGTCTTCGAATTAATAAATATCTTGATTTTTGCTCAAATATTTTTACGATAAATATCCTGCTCCTTAATGATTTTCCATTAGGGAATACTTTTTTTTTTTGGGTACAATAAAGGGGAAAAACCCCAAAGAAGACAAAAAATAAAAGACAAAATAGAACAAAAAAGACTAATCTGGGGCAGCAAGCCAGATCTGGCTGGAAGACCCTATAATATTGGAGGAGATCAACTTCTGAAGATCCTGGTCAGGAGAAGCTATAACTGATGTACCCAAGGAAGAAGATAGAGCTCTCTTTGCAATCCAATCCGCACAGCTGTTACTGCTTCTCAAGACATGAGTAAATTTGACAGTTCAAGATCTATCAACAAGGGCTCGAATCCTAACCACTAAATGCAGTTCTCGAGCATCATTATCAATTAAGGTAAGCAATCTAATAGCTTGAGATGAGTCACTCTCAACTATTAGATTTTTAAAACCAGAATTCCAAGCAAACACTAGACCATTATGGATAGCCCAGAGCTCAGCAAGGAGAGGGGAACAACACCCCAAGAAAGTTTTGAACCACCTAGCCAATTACCTTGACAGTCACGAATAAGACCTTCACAAGCAGCTTTCACATGTCACTGCCCCATCAACATTCAATTTACACCAGTTAGTTGAAGGCCGAGCCCAATCCTTCCTGTGCATGTTCAACATTTTTGGATCCCGCAAAAGTTGGGTATCATTTAGACAAAATTCTCATCATAAATTTTGCGAAGTGTACATGAGAAGAATTCACGGTTGGAATGCTGATCACTTCAAAAAATTTCCTACAAGAGATCAACACCATTTCTTTTTAAGTGAAGATGACAATTCACCTCTGTTCCCATTATACTGGACCAGATACCCGTCTGATGAGTATAAGCTTAATTACACTTTTGTCGATCTCCACAACTATGAGAGAGAAACTATCACTGCCTTGTGTGATATTGCGCATAGGGCACCAGATAATGGCTCACTGAGTGCTTATACCATACTGAATGAGTACACAGAAGAGGATGTTAGAGTATTCCTTGGTAAATGTTTTACGCCATTGCCCACTTTACTGATTGTAACTTCTATGTTTTTATTCTTGTATTGCGTCTAAATTGAATTGTTCATGTTCTTTTGCAGATAGCACAATGTCTCATAGAATGAAGCAGATTGAAGCCATTGCGATGAAAAGAGCCGAAGGAGAATCTGGTACCTCGGGCACGAGTCAGCTTCCTTTTGGAACCATTACCTCACCAATTGCCGGCAATCTAGCCAAGTTGTTATGTGCTTTACTTCCCCTGGTCCCCAAATACCACAATCTGGTGAAGTTGTTGTAAAAGAAAAAAGTGTTGAAAAGGAAACGTCTCAGAAAGAGAAGGTGAGAGGGAAGAAAAGGAAAACAGAGAATTCCGCAACTTCATTGGAGATACCGCGTGATAGGGGTGTGATTGGGGAATTTTGCAGGACCTTTTTTCAAAAGGGAAAGAAATTTAGCATTTGATTGAGGACATGTCTGAAGTAGAATGGGAAGAGGAAGAAAAAAAGTTGGATATCAAACAACAACAATTGATCTTTTTAACAGGTACGCTGTACTTTTAATACGTGTTGTACTTCTTTTGCTAAAAAGTTTCTTTACAAAATTCTTTGTAATAGGTACTGTGGCCTACCTGAAATCTCGTATAGCTGCGCAAAATAAGGCTATCGCAGAGAAGGATGAGGCCATGAAAGCGCTGGAGAAAGCTAAAAAAAATTGGAAGAAGAGAGTACACGAGTGGCGAAAAAGCTTGGTGAATTGAAGGTAAATTATGCCACGTTGAAGATGCAAAAGTCTAGCCTCTCAAATCAGATCAAGGATTTAGAGAAGACTATCACCACCCTCACAGACGAGAAAGAGACTTTAAGTAGAGATGTCGCCAAATATCAACAGCTTTTTGAAGATGAAGTTGTTGGCACTTATGAGAATATTCTCATGCAAGTGCGCCTTTTCAAGCCATCAACTAAATTGGAGAATGTTCATTATCTCAATTATGTTAAGAATGGACAGCTAATGAAACTGAATGAAGCTCAGGAGGAAGAGCCGGTCAAGCTAGTGAGCTTTATGGACACTGAAACTCCTTCAGTCAATCCGAAGAATGTGACTGTCGTTGATGTAGACGCTCAGACGGATGCTGCTATTGGGAACGAGGCTCGCGACATGTCTAACCAAACAGTTTAATATTTCATTTTGTTTTGTAACTTGCAATGCAATTTATGTTTTGGATTTGTAGGCATGGTGTATTCTGTCTAATCCCAAACATTTGCCTTTAAAGCAATGCACATTTCTAGCTATAAAACTTTCTTCATAACCTAGTTTTGCGAATTTAGGCTTTTCTTTCATAAACTTGTTTATCTTGAGTCTGATAAGTGTTCGCGCATTGAAAGTTTTAACCAGTCTAGGTTTTACCTTCCTTTATTTCTTCATGTACTGGAAGTTCTAACCAGTTAAGGTCTTACCTTCCATTTTAATGTTCAGATGGAAGTTTTAACCAGTTAAGGTTTTACCTTCCTTTTTAATGCTCTGCGTAACGGAAGTTTTAACCAGTTAAAGTTTTACCTTCCTCTTTAGTGTGATGGAAGTTTTAACCAGTTAAGGTTTTACCTTCCTTTTTAATGCTCTGCGCAATGAAAGTTTTAACTAGTTAAGATTTTACTTTCCTCTTTATCATTGCACCTTATGTGCTTAAATGATCTATAATCTAATAAACCTGTAATGCTTTTGCAAATAATATTAATAGTAACAAGCTGGATTCATTAAGTAGAAAATACGAAAACAACTCACAATTTTAGCTATAAAATAACTTAAGTTTATATGCGTTCCAGGTATGTGGGATCGCAAGTCCTGATAAAGTTTCAATGACATATGCTCCCAATTCAGATTTCCTTTGGATGCGATAAGGACCTTTCCAATTGGCCGATAATTTTCCTTGATGTGAATTCTTATGGCCAATATCATCTCTTCTAAAAACTAAATCCATAACTTTGAATCTTCTTTGGATAACTTTTTGATTATACCTTGTTGCAATTCTCTGCTTAAATTCTACCTCCTTAATATGAGTCCTTTCGCGTACTTCGCCAATTGTATCCAAATTTCGTAATAAGGTATAAGAATTATTGTCACCATTTGTGTAAAGCTTTCTCCAAGATAGTTCCCCTATTTCAACTAGAATCATTGCCTCACTTCCATATACTATTCTGAAAGGGGTTTCACCAGTGGTCGAATGAGGGGTAGTCCTATATCCCCATAAAGACGTAATCAATATGTTCTGGCCAATCCCCTTTAGCTTCTTCCAATCTTCTCTCAAGTCCTTTTTTAAGGACTCTATTTTCAACTTCAACTTGTCCATTAGTTTGAGGATGCTCAACTGATGTGTACCTATGTTTAATCCTTAGATACTTAAGAATCTAATTGAACTTTCTGTCCACAAATTATGTACCATTGTCAGTGATGATGGTATGGGGGACTCCAAATTACAAACTATCTTGCGGTACAAGAATCTTTGAATCTTATTGCAGAGATAGTTACTAACAGTTCAGCCTCAATCCACTTGGTAAAGTAATCTATTGCCACCGCTAGCCATTTTAATTCTTCCATAGAAATAGGAAAAGGTCCAAGCAAGTTCATTCCCCACTGATAAAAGGCCATGGAGACAATAAAGAAGATAACTTTTCCGGAGGAGCATGATGGATATCAATGTTTCTGACGCTTTACACAGTACTTGACGTCCTTTTTTGCGTCCTCATCCATCATGGGCCAGAAATAACCTGCGTGAAGTAATTTGCGCGACAAAGACTTTCCTCTTATATGGTGACCATTTATTTCTTCATGTACCTCAGATATAACGTACTTTTCTTGCGTTGGAGCTAAG